TTATTTAAACCAGATACAGAATCAATCGTAAATAAAACTTAAAAATTATTAATAAGGTACTGCATCTAACAATCTGCTTTGTAATGTTTGTAGTAAAAGTGGATTATTTGTATATGAATCACCCTGTGATACTATTCCGTAATTAATGATTTAGTGATGAATGTTTTATACGATAATTTTATAAACCAGTTAGTAATGTAATAAACTGATTGATAAAATTTAGGTGATTCTATCTACCAATATTGCCGAAACTTCAATCACAATCAACGACGTTGTGTACGTAATCGATAGTTGTAAAGCGAAAATGAAGCTGTACACATCACACAACAATATGACGAGTTATGCGACCGTGTGGGCAAGTCGTACGAACCTTGAACAACGTAAAGGGCGTGCTGGACGTGTCCGTCCTGGCTACTGTTTTCACTTGTGTTCGCAAGCACGTTACGAAAAGCTTGACGAACATATGACCCCCGAGATGTTCCGTTCCCCATTGCACGAAATAGCATTGAGCATTAAATTGTTACGTCTGGGTGGCATTGGGCATTTCCTAAGTAAAGCTATTGAACCACCACCCCTGGACGCCGTCATCGAAGCTGAGGCTAGTAAAAAACGTTTTCCTATAATCTTCTGTCTAATTATGTTAAGTGAAAGGTGAAAAATATTCCTTTTACTCGTAGGTTCTTTTGAGGGAAATGCAAGCATTGGATTCCAATGATGAGTTGACCCCTTTGGGAAAAATCCTTGCAAAATTGCCTATAGAGCCTCGTTTAGGTAAAATGATGGTGATGGGCTGTATTTTTATGTACGGGGATGCGCTGGCCACTATGGCTGCTAACTCGTCCACATTTCCTGAAATTTTCGTGCTGGAAGGTTATCAGAGAAGACTTAGTTATCACCAACGGGCTTTGGCAGGAGACAGGTTCTCTGATCATGTCGCCATGTTGACCGCTTTTGAGGTAATACATGTATGAATTTTCTATAATAAAAAATATATTCAAAATTCTTACAGTTGTGGGATAAGGCCCGTCAAGGTGGTGAAGATGCTGAAATTCGTTTCTGTGAGCATAAAGGTGTTAGCATGCCTACTTTAAGAGTAACATGGGAGGCGAAACGTCAGCTTCAAGAAATCCTCACATCTGTTGGTTTTCCTGAAGAAAGTATGATACCCACGCACATGGAAACTGTTGGTCCAGATCCAAAATTGGATATGGTGATGGCTCTCATGTGCATGGGGCTCTACCCGAACGTGTGCTGTCATAAAGAAAAACGAAAGGTAATAAAATATAAAAATCATAAATTCTCTGTATTCTTTTAATGTTGACATAATGTTAACTTGCACATTTGTTTTAGGTTTTGACTCAGGAGAGTAAAGCAGCTCTAATTCACAAAACCTCGGTGAATTGTAGCAACCTTGCACAGACGTTTCCTTATCCGTTTTTCGTTTTCGGGGAGAAGATACGTACCAGAGCTGTATCTTGTAAACAAATGTCTATGGTCGCTCCCATTCATCTTTTGCTTTTTGGGTCAAGGAAGGTTGAATGGGTAAGTTATAGAAAAAAAAATTGTGAAAGTACTTTTTGGTCTTGATTTTGTGTTTCTTTTTCTGTTTAGGTAGACAAGGTTGTAAGATTGGATAATTGGATCAATTTCGACATGGATCCTCAAATTGCATCCGAGATCCTGGCTTTACGCCCCGCCCTTGAAAGCCTTGTTATAAGGGCATCTAAAGAGCCAGAGCAGGTGTTAGAATTAAGTCCCACAGATGTCAAGGTAATATTGTCTTAGCTTTTAAACAAAACATTTTTTATAATATTATAAATGATTTAGACAACTAAATAGGTTTTAGAAGAATTCTTATACACATTTGCTAATCTCATTTAAAACGCAGAATTGTCTACATTTATTTTACTGTAATGTATTCAACGTCCTAATTTGACAAATTTTCTTCTTCTTTATTAAGGTGGTAAATGTAATCAAAGAGTTATGCAAATTGCACGCGGGCAGTTACGGCCTTGAACGTGCAAATCAAAGTCACCACTTCGATTCAAATCGTCCTCCTCGTGGTCATACCCTCGGAAGAGGCATGGGTGGCCCACCACCAAAATTCTTCCGACGAGGGGGAAACTATAATGACGGAAGGGGGTGGCAAGGAGGTAGAGGAGGTTATGGAGGAGGTAGAAGTAATTTCAGTGGCGGTCGGGGTTATGGAGGAGAAAGAGGAAATTTCAGGGGCGGCAGAGGTGGATATGATGGTGGAAGAGGACGAGGGAATTTTGGCGGAAGAGGCGGATATGGAGGTAACAACTTTTCTCAATATTATTAATTTATTGAATGTTTCATTTAATTAAGAAACTAGTCTTATTCTGCAATCTTATTGCATTAAAATTTTATTAGAAAGTAAATCGTGTTTTCGTTCCAATTTTGTATTTATTTGTTAAAAAGGAAGAAATAAAAGTAAATTAAATATGAAAGTGTGGGCATTTGGGTTGGAACTTTTGCCTCGACCCTAAATTACCTTATCCCTAATAGGTTTTAAAGTTTAAAGATTATTAATGATTTTTGATTGAAAGTTTATTATTATACATATAGATATATAAAACACATTTTTTTAATACGAATTTAACAATTAAAAAAGCAAATAAACGTATAGATATGGAACCACTAATGGTACTTGTATGCTATATTGAAGCAATGACGCATTAATTTTTCTTGTCTCTCATTTTCATTAGTAGATCAAACCTCCTGTTACTTCTAACGCCTTGTATATGATTCCTCCTTTCATCTCGATTATTTTTAGTAATTTTAGTTTTGCCAACAACAGCTTTCTTCTGTTCTTCTTTTGTTGGTTGTTTTGAACCGTCTATAATTTTGAACCCAAACTTAGTTTTTTGTTTATTTTCTTGTATTTTTATCTGATTTTTGACATTTATTATTGAATTGGTACTTCGATTTCCAATTGACTTGTTTTGTATTTGTTCAAATTTTCTATTCCCATTGTCGTTAGTTGGTTTAGAGTTCTGATAGAAATTCAGGTGCTTTCTCGACTTTGCATTTTCTTTGACTTGAGAAGAATTTTCATTTTCTTTTTTTTGAGAAGAATATCCATTTTCCTTATTATTAACTGGTTTGTGTCCAGATAAAAGCAATTTGGTTCTTTCTGCTTTTCTTTGGCTGTGTTCTTTTATATCTTCCATTTTATTAAACAGTTTCTTGTGAATTTCAGCAAAATTCGGTAGTTTAGTTCTGGTTATTTTTGTAATTGGTTCTTTATTTTTATTTAAACCAGATACAGCGTTTGATTTTGGTGTGCTCATAGTGGTTGGGTGCGAATATTTCTGTACTAAAGATGGAAGCGAAGTCGATAATTTTTTTGGTATTTTACTAACTTTAACTGGACTCTTAATAGTTCTGTGACAGTTGGAATTATTGAGAGGTGATGTTGCTACAGATTCATTAATTATTTGTTTAAAAGTAACTTTTTTTCTTTTTGTAATATTTCTATCATAATTATCATCGGCCATTTTCTCATTAAATAAAAACTCTGCCAAACTTTCATCTTTTATGGGTAAACTTTTTGATCTTTTTTTTCTTAACCTATTTATAGATGAAATCCTTTTTTGTTCAAATACACTATCGCTAACGTCTTCATCCGAATCATTTGTGGATATTTTTCTGCAATCCCCTTTTTCGTGATTCGAAATATATTCTGGGGAGTCAATTAAATTGATTGAAGTCTCATCTTCTAACATAGAAATTGTTTCTATTTTTTTGGGATGAGGGGTGCTTTCCCCATATTTTCTCTTTTTTATGTTATTAGTTTCCTTTGGAGTACCAAACTCATCACAAACGGTTTTGAGCAGAGTTACATGGTTAATACTTTCACCAATTTCAAAAGTACTTCTCCTGTTTGTTATTTTACCTGATGGGATTTTTGGATTATTCTTTATTTCTGCTGATGTCAAAAGTGACGGTGTTGATGTAATTGTACTTTGAAGGTTGTCCCTATTATCTTGTCCATTTGTAAGAAATTCTTTGATTGAATGGCTCTCATTTTCTTGCGATATTTCAATTGATTCATCAACAATTTTGATGCTTTTTGTTTCGTACGTCAGAGTAACGTTATCATCGGAATCATTTTTAAAACTGTCGAAATCTGAAGCTGTTGCAAACGTATTGTTACTCTCATTATTATTTAATGCTGTTTCATCAATTGAAGAAGAATTGCATTCTTTCTGAATTTCTATTAGTTTATTTTCATCAGATGCTATTACTGTTGCGTTTATTTCAATGTTTTTAGTTTCTTCGTATTTTTCATATGTTAAGTTTTGGGTTTCATTTATATCATTATGTATGTTATTATTCTTAGACAAACCAATATTTGCTGTCTTCATAAAGTTACCGTCGTTGTTTTTGCATTCGGCTATGTTTTCTTTATCCTTTGATGATGTATTTTTTTCCAATTCTTTTAACTCGGTTGTAAGGATGTCTTCGGTTTCTTTATATTTCATTTCCGACTGTAAACTTTTATTTTTTTCATTAATTTCTTTTAAAGTTACATTATTTTGAATATCCATCGTCTCTATAATGGTATTTTTCCCACTAGGTAAAAATTCATTTAAGGAATTGTTAATGTCTTCACACCGATTATTTTCTATTTTTTTGTTGTTTTCTTTTCTTATTTCTATCTCCACATTATCATTTCCTTCGTTCATGTTGTGTTCAGAATCCGTTGATTTTGTATAGGTATTATTCCCAGTATCTGAAGATTCATTTAAGGAATTGTTAAAATTCTTACAATACGTATCATTTAGTTTTTTTTCAACTTCAACCTTTTTTGGTACTTCATCTTCATTGTACTCTCTATTTTCATCTATTAAGTCATTATTAGAAACTTCAGAATTTTTCACTTTTGTAAATGAAGAATTAGTTCCATTTTTTGGCTCTTCATATAGATTATCATTTTCAGTTTCTGTTGATACAATTTTTTTTTCTGATGTATATTCAATTTCTTGTGAAATATCTGTATTTACTTCTCGACTTTCGTCGGTGTCTTTACTCTTTAAACTTTGATTATCCTTTACATCATTACTATCTTCCTTTAAAGTAATTTCTTGAGTACCTGTTTTAATAACTTTTGTACTTTTAGCCTTAAATGTAGTTTCCAAAACAGCCTCATCATTAACTAAAGTTTTCTCTTCTTTTTTTAACTTTAATTCTGTTTCAATTTTGGCAAAATTTGCAACTGATGCAGCATTATCTACGTCGTAGGTTTCTCTTCGAGTTTTAATAATAGCTGGAAGATCGTAAGTGAGGCGAGAGTCGTGTAATTTCTTTAAACTTGTAGGGCTTCTACAATTCAGGATTTCTTGGACTGATTCTTGAGAAATGAAATTATCATTATCTTCAGTTTCTGTTTTTGCAGATTCTTTGACGTTTTTAATAACATTTTGAGAGACTTTTATTAAAGATTTTCTGTAACTGGTGCGAGTAACTCTTTGATTTTTTAGTTCGTTTTGCACCAATTCTTGTTCTAACTCTTTTTGATTGTGTTTAGGTGATATTTTTTTATCATCATCAGTGCTCTTACTTTGATTAGACATTTTGATACTTTCTCTAGTACTACGACGTGTTTGCCTTATTGGAATTTGGTCTTTTTCTGTATGGTTTACTCTTTCCTTTTTACGTTCATTGGTTGCTTTACCTCTTAACTGTTCTACACTTTTATTAAAGTTTTTTTGATCAGGTGTAATGTCATTAATTTTAGGAAGGAATGACCATTTAGTTTTTTTGTGGCTGCGAGTCAATCTGTGTTCAAATTCACTTGCCTCACCTGGTGTAATGGGTGTATTATAAAGTTCTTCAGTTGCACGAATTTTTCTCTTCAGTTTACGTTTTATGTTTTCAGTGGGATGTTCCTCAATTTCAAAACCGAATGAATCCTTTTTTCGTTTTTTTGTTTGTTTCACAGTTCCAGGCGTTACAACGTCTTTGACGAAACCACTTTTAAAAGGGGGCATTTTTAATAGTCCTAAAGGAAATAATAATTAAACAGTTGTAAAGAAGATGCAATAAACATACCTGCTGATCACAAATTTCACTAAAATGGTTTATATAAAATTATTCAATGTAAAAGAGCTTCCAATTAACACTGATATACATTTCAATTTTTGAATTTGTCGGTTACATTTATACTGTATTATACTTTGACAGTAGTGATTTGAGTAACGTTCATGTCTACTAATACATTAGTTGAAAAACAAAATCAATCCAATCAGTTGACATTACTTTGTTTTCATATGTTTTTTTACTAAAAGTAATTTGAAAAACGCCATAATTTAATTTGTAATTTTCATCAAATTGCAATTAACTTTTATTACATTTTCTGAATTGAAGTTGAACGCTTCTCAAATTCTACATCAGCGCCATCGTAGTATTGAACAGTAAACTAGTTAAAAACTTTGCTAGTGACTTATCTATGCTGGCGATATACAGACCATACTTTTCTATGGACCACATACAGACCATAGATAATATAGACCAATACCAGCCAATACAGGCATGTACAGACTTGAAAATCACTGCGCAAATCGCAGAATTAATATGGCAGAATAAGTGATAATTTGTCGCACTATGACAAGATGTTTAATAAATGTTAATAATATTGTTAGAAGTGGGTGTATTTGAAATTTTTATCTTATTTATTATAATTGTTTTTTCCGTTTTAGGGCATAAGTGATACGTCTACAATAAGATATACATGCAAAGCAGTTTTTAAAAGCAATGTCACTTTTTTACTTTTGTTAACTGAATCGGGATAAGAAAAAAACATAAACAATGGAACTTGAAGACTCCGGGGGCATAGGCCAGGAAACTATTTATGGCACCCACGAAGATTCTCGCGTGGTTATGTCTGAGAAAGTGCAATCACTTGCTGGAAGTATCTACGAAGAATTTAAACGTATGATTGCGCGGTATGATGAAGATGTTGTTAAAACTTTAATGCCACTTCTTGTCAACGTGCTGGAATGTTTAGACTCTGCCTACCAAGCAAATCAAGTAATATAGCTTATAATTCTTTATGAGTACAAAATATAAAATCATTTGACTTTTTAGGAACAGGATGTTGAACTAGAGTTGTTGCGTGAAGACAATGAACAGTTGGTTACCCAGTATGAAAGAGAGAAAGGGGCAAGAAAAACTGCAGAACAAAAACTGTTGGAATTTGAAGATTCTGCTGAAGGTTAGTTCATAGTTAAATAAATTACTTTTGCTTAAATTCTCATAGAATAAACAAGAAAATTTTTAACTTATTTGTTTATTTTAATTTTAGGAGAGCGTAAAGAATTATCTGGCAGACTTGAATCTCTGGAAAGCATAGTAAGAATGTTAGAATTGAAACATAAAAATTCAATGGAACATGCAGGCAGATTGGAAGAAAGAGAACAAGAACTAAAGAAAGAATATGCAAAGCTTCATGACCGTTACACTGAATTGTTTAAAACCCACATGGATTATATGGAAAGAACAAAACTAATGCTATCTAGTCAGCAACTTGTGAATGAAAGGGCTGAAGTGGGACGAATTAATTCAAATCAACTTAATATGGGCAGAAGTTCAGGACCTGTCTCATTTGGCTTTGCTTCCTTGGAAGGTGCCGAAGATGGTGTCGACAGTGTGCCAACCTCACCAGTTAGCAGTAGTCATTCTTNGTCAGCACAGGGCAAAGTAGTATTACGTAGTTAGTATCAGCAATTTCTTATGCTGAAGTGTACGATGTGTTGCATACCTATTTACAAACAATTCATTTAAATTTAATTTTTCAACACAAAGAAAATGATTACACAAATTGTTCACAAAAGTGAATTTTGACCACTCAAAGCAATGGTGCTAACAGTTTCTAGCTCACAGTGTCTGATAGGGGGGAAGAACTAGTATTCTTTAATGGAATAGATTAATTTGCGTGAATGAAGATCAGTTTTTCTATATATTTGATTTAATCAATTAAAAAAATTAAATAGTAAGCTGGACTAGAAGCTAATGATTCATTGTGTGTGTGTGTGTGGATTTAAAATTAATAATGGTCATTTTTCTTTAATATTTTTTAGGAACGTTTCATCGAACTGCAGGAGGCGGTCCGCTGGACGGAGATGATTCGTGCGTCGAAAAACGATACCACCCTAGACAAAAAGAGCAAACAGAGTATTTGGAAATTCTTCAGTAATTTGTTTACGAGCTCGGACAGACCAACACGGCCGTATGTTTCGCCTCAGCTTAGGTATCAGTCTAACACGAATCAAGTGGCGCCGGGAGTAGTAAGAACCGCACTTCCTGCCAGAGGCGGACAGGATTTTTTAGAAACGGAGCTGGGTACGGAATTATGATCTGTTTGAGTTTTTTCGACTACAGTTTTTACTATCTCACATTAAATACTACTGTCAATTGTCTGTGATAACAAATCGGTTATTTTATACTTTACATTTTAATTTTTATTTCTAGCAGTAAAGTGACGTCCTTCTATGTCGTCGTCGTTGTTGTTGTTGTTATTGTTGTTGTTTAGTCGTTTTATATGTTTCGCGCGTGTTGAAATGATTTTGCTTCTCAATCGTTATGGAAATTTTTCATAATTTTTGTTTCTATTGTTTGAGAATATTTATTTTCGTTGCAGAATTATCAATTGTCTTATTGGACTGTTATCGTCAGTATTATGAGTAAATTAAAATTAAAACCCGTTGTTTGTGAGATTATGTTTCTCATCTGTTTGAAGTTATACTTCTTTTGGCGATTTAAGAGTAAAATTTCAACATCAAACGAAAGTTGCGTACGCGCATGTGACCAAAATTCAGCAGCGTGACTACGATTTGTGCGAGATCAGAATTGGTTGCTTTGGTCTCGGCGATCGTTGCTGTTCACTGATAGGGGGTAAGTTTACATCCCGGCCAGTATAAACAGCGATGCACTGTGAGAGTATTTAAATACATAATCAAAAGCATTGTTTAAATAAATACATAATTATTATTATGCATATATCGACTAAAATATATGTAAAAAGAAGTATAATTTCTACCAAACGTACATGAGTATGTACCAATTTTTTCTGTCCTTTTTTGGTATTTTCTTTTCGGATAAGAAACTGCAGTGTGCCTTATATGGTGGTTATTTGAATAACATAACAGGTTGTTACATCGCGTTTTCCTTTTACCTAAAATTTGTAGTGAACTTAATTCATCAATAGTTAATTATAATTTTCTATATATTTTGTTTTGTTATTCTTAAAGGTGTGTTAGTGAAACAAGTTAAACTGTAGTGATAAATAGTAAAAGCACAAAGTCTAAGTGAAAGGTATATTTATATTAATACTATTTGTGTAACTGACTGGAAGAGAGAAGTGCTTTGGTGCAGAAAATTGTTATTTTTATTAAAATGAACAATTTTTCTTTAAATTGTGCCATAAATTGTTAATTAATTTATAATATTCAGGTAGTCTTTTGTTAATATTTACTATATTAGTTACTAACTGATACGTTAGCCAATAGCTACAATACAAATAAATTAACAATTTTTATAAAGTAACATTTTTTATTATCAATCATCCAAATGAAAAAGTTATTTTCTATATAATTTGATAATTATAGGCGTGATGAATCTAATTAAATTAAAAATTCACAACTGGCGAAGTGTTGGCGAAAATACTCGTTATTTCTGAATCATTTGAAAATTTCATAGATTGTAGATTTATGTCACAGTGCGCAAATAATAATTAAGAGCTAAGAAAATGCAAATTAATTTTTGGGAATAAAACTTATTTTTTTTTTTATTTTTTTTTATTACATGCATAAATCAAGGTAAACATTATTTTCCGTATTAAATATTTTGTTTTTGACTTGTTTTAATTAACTAAGACATATTTTATGATTAAATTTTCCGGTAACTTGTTCGTTTGGATGTATTACATAGATCAAAGCTGAGCCGGAATGTTAAAACATTTTTTTTGTGTTGTATTTGACTGAATTATTTCTTCTAGTCATAGGGCGTTAACGTCTGACCATATATTTTATGTTTCATTTTGCTTTTATTTAAGTTGACTGTTGGTTTTTATAAACATTTGAGAAGTTGTTGTTGTTGTGAACTGTCTCCGTATTTAAATATAGACACGGTTTACAAGACGTTTTTGTTGTTTTATTATTATTTAATTTTCGTGTTCTTCGACACATGGGAGAAGAACTGGGCCTTAAATGATGCCAGTGTGTCTTTCGTTTGTTATTAGAAAAGAAAACGGGCAATTGACAGTAGAACGTGTTTCTCTTGTAAGTAATTTTTGCGTGTTCTTCCCATTTTTTTTTGTTAATTTTTCTTTTTCAGGCCAGGGTTCTGAACGAGTGCTGGCTCGGCGTGCATTTGAAAGGAGAGAACAATATAGACATGTGAGGGCGCATGTGCGGAAAGAAGATGGTCGGCTACAGGCCTATGGATGGAGTTTACCGAGTAAGGGAGGGTCGGCTAATTCGGCGTCTGGAGTAAAGGCGTTGACTAATAGTAGCCACAGCGTTCCTGTACCTGTTCCGGTTTATTGTAGGCCTTTGGCCGAGAGTCAGCCGGGAATGAAGATTTGGTGCGCTGCTGGAGTCAATCTGATGGGTGGATATACCAAAGACGGAGGATTGATGGTAAGTACTCATTCTTAACTTTTTTTTCCAGAATTTTGTAAAGTTGTGAATATAAGAAAGGGTTAAATAAAATAAAGCCGTCAGGGTGGGTGAAGACGGTCACCCTTCTCACCACCCTGCTTCACTAGCTTGTGAATTGGAATTTCGGGAGTTTTAAAGGGTTGCTTACCGTATACTAATAAGTCTGTTTAGCAAATTAATGTGTTGTAATAATTAATGATACAATATTTTTTGTTATCGGAAATATCTAAACTTTTATGAAGACTTTTGAACCTAATTGATACTAAATTTCTTTGTAAGGTCGGGGGTAGTGTGTTTTATTCAGACGAATCGTCGGTTCAGAACGAAGTAAATAGTGAGGTGGAGAGTTTAGATAAAGAATTGAGAGCCAATCGTGAGGCTGCCGTTCTTGAAACGAAACTCTCCTCGTTGGTATGGATATGCACGTCAACGCATAACGCCAGTATTGTGACGGTAATTGATGCGAACAATCCTGCCGAGATCCTGAACAGTTTTGGCGTCTGCACGAATCATCTGCTGTGCATTGCAAGCGTTCCGGGCGCAAGTCCCGACGACTATTCTCCAAACGATGATGCTTACGAGATGGTAGAACGATCGGAAGTCGCTGTTATTCCCGAAAACAAAACGGAAAATGTCGAAGACGATGCCAAAGAAATTATTGACGATAGCACAAAATATGATAGTGCCAAAGAAAACGAAAAAAATGAAATAAAGGAACAGCAGCAAGAAAATAAACCGGTAATTAAAATGCGATTTTTAATTTCCTTTAAGTAATATTTTCTGTTGATATTTTGTAGACTTATAGGGTAACATTTGTTGAACACAACGAAACAGTTTACAATAGGAAGAAACACCGGTCTGAAGAAAAGTCTCATGAATGCGAACAGTCAAATGATAATAGTACTGAAGGGGATTCATCTCCGAAAAATTCCCCGGTTACTGAGAACAGTCCTGTTAAATCTAAAGAGAAGAATGATTTTTCAAAAGAACAGGAACTTCGAGAACATCGGGTCATGTCCAGCGTATTGGCGACCATGTGGTTAGGTGCTCAAAATGGAATACTCTACGTCCATTCTTCGGTCACGAATTGGAACCAGTGTTTACATTCTGTCAAACTAGACGACGCTGTTATTAGCATAGTGTAAGAGTCAAACCCTTTGTATTATATACATATGCTTTTTTGATATGTTTGTTTAATTTTAGTCACGTAAATGGTAGAGTTGTTGTTGCTTTGGCTGACGGAAAGGTAGCAGTGTTCCGACGAAATTCTGAAGGCGAATGGGATCTTTCAAAATACCATCTTGTACAACTGGGACCTCCGCAACAGTCAGTTCGTACCCTTTGTGTGGTTGGTGATAAGGTGTGGTGTGGTTATCGAAACAAAATTCATGTTCTCCACCCTCGGAAACTAGAAGTCGTTTATTCTTTTGAAGCACACCCCAGAAAAGAAAGTCAGGTAATTTTTTTATTTTTATCATAATCCTTTTCTTTCTTTTTAAGCAGTCATTGCCTGTTTATCGCAGATCCAATCGTAGGTTCTCGGTCCACCACTTTCTACATCTTTCAAAAGATCTTACTAGCGACATCTTCAATCTTCATTCACCCTGTTAATCTGTTCATTTTATTCTACTTTTCGTTTATCGGTTAACACGTTTATGTTAGGAACTTTTTTATAATTTTTCTTATTAATTTGTAAGTATAAAAGTCTTGTTTTCAATTTTACTGTTAAAATAGGGTTTATTNGATAAAAAAACGACTTCTCGTTTTGGCTTTGTGAGATTGGCAGGCAGATGGTGTTTTAAGCACACATGTATAACACGTTTAATAGCTTTAATCAATATTTTTTTTAATGATTTAACCGGATTGCTTTTACAGCAGCTTGTCCATCAATTTTTTCCAAATTAACTATGTAATACTGTAGAAATATATCGCTCGAAAGGTGGAGTAACAGGTTTTCCTGTTTATTACATTTATTGTTTGTTTAGGTAAAACAGCTAGCATGGTGGGGAGAGGGTGTTTGGATTTCAATTAGGCTAGATTCCACTCTAAGACTCTACCATGCGCACACCTATCAACATCTTCAAGATGTTGATATAGAACCCTATGTTAGTAAAATGTTGGGTAAGTCTAAATGTATTTTTACCGCTATAATTTCAAATATTTCTTGTTTTTCTCCTGCAAATTATGGAGTTAAATTCTCTAAACTTTTAAATTTTGTTCAGTACGTACTCATTTCAATTGGTTATTTATTTTAATAAAAAAGATGTAGAAAACTAATTTTACTAGAAATTGTAGGAAAGTTCAAAAATAAATTATTGAAATTATCGCAACGAAATGTGTCTGATATTTTTCATTTACTTGGGCGATAAAATATTGTTTCATTTCAAGATCCGCTTTTTAATTTTTTTTACACCGTATTTTTATTTTATTTATAGGTACTGGCAAACTAGGATTTTCGTTTGTACGAATAACAACTCTTCTGATCTCGTCAAACAGGCTGTGGATTGGCACTGGAAATGGTGTCATAATTTCCGTACCAATTAGTGACTGTGCTAGTGTGAGCGGAAGCTCTAGTGGGGCTATAGTATTACGAGGTAACAGTATAGGCGTAGGCTCCACGCCCAGTGTTCGCTCGAATGCTCTGCCATGGAGCTACATTCCATTCTGTACCATGGCGCATGCCCAACTTAGCTTCCATGGACATCGTGATAGCGTTAAATTCTTCGTTGCTGTACCAGGGAGTGGCGGTAAGTTTATTTTTGGAGTTTACTCTTAAAAATAGTAAAATAGAAGTTTTATGGTAAAGTTGCACGTAAGTTTATTTTCATAGCAAAAGAGACATGATTGAAATTTAAAAGTTGGATTATTGTTTTATCTTTTTTGTAGGTATGAGTGCTGCTTCTACACCCTCTGAGGCACATTCTGCTGCATTGTCTCCAATCGGTGGACCTCCCAAGACTTCCAGTGTGATGCTGGTTATGTCTGGGGGTGAAGGTTACATTGACTTTAGATTGGGTAAGTGAAGTTAATTATTTGTTTGTTAGTTTGTTATGGGACTTCAATCATTTTCAATGAGTATTATGTTAGGAAACAATTTTGAGTATAAGATAGAACAGAAAGTGTAATTAAATTTTTAGATAAATATATGCGACATAATTTATTTAAGGCGGTCAGGTTACTTACGAATATGACTTTTGATTAAGATTAAAATAAAAAACTAGGGTCGATAAGAGTAAAGAGAAAATGGCCCCTATAACAGTAATCTTAATAAGTTTACTAAAATCATTTTTATTATTATTTTTTAATTAATTGTTCCTTATACATGTTCTAATAATTCATAACATTTAGGATCACTCCGATAGTTAAATGCAATTATTTTGGCGGCCCAACTTTTTTATTTTTTAAAGAACGGTATGCCAATCCTCTAGGTGCATGGGAAGTAGCTAAATATCATTGTATATATTATGTGTATAAAATATCTGATCAGCTGCTCTGGTAATTGAAAATTGGTTGTTAATATAGTAGTTTTAGTTTCAGACAGTTCTTTTTATCTGACTGCCAAATTAATTAAAAGAACGGTGTGTTAATCCTCTAGGTGCATGAGAAGTAGCTAAATATTATATGTATAAAACATCTATTCAGCTGCTATGTTAATTGAAAATTGGTTGTTAATATAGTAATTTTAGTTCTCAGTCATCTGACTGCTTTAAAAATTTAATCATATTTCTCAATGTTTCCTTGTAATATCTTGTTATTTACACGTTTGTAGATTTTATTTATGACCACTAGATATCCGTACGTAGATTTATTAATAATTAACGTGTATATATAAATACGTAAGAGGTATAAAGAAGTATGTAGTATAAAAGTTTTTATTGCACATTACTAACTCTATTACATGCACGTTTAAAGGATTTCTCTTTATCTGTCTGTCTACCTTGAAAGTTTTCCACGATTAATAAAATTAACAGTCAGATTTATTACTTGGGCCATCGGGAGCTCCTGGGAATGTCGCGTATTTTATTTGGTTGGTTTTTTAATATCTTGTCTCTGTCTTGTTTTCTTCTTTTGTCTTGTCGAAAGTCGTGGGTGAATTTTGAACGAATTTCGGAAATTTCCAGATGAAGATGCTAATGAACCGAAAGACGTAGCTTCACATCTTCTTATTTGGCAGCTCATGTACGATATTCCTGAGAGTTCCACAGGGTACGTTGCCAATTTTATGATTTCTATGCCGTTTGTAATTCTTTCATTTACTTATTGCACTTTCCATGGGACAAAAGATGAAAACGACTGCTAGAGCGCACATTTTTTTTTCCAATGCCGTTATGTATGTTATTATTTAACATTTTTCGTTATTATGCAAGACAAAGAGGGAATAAAAAACAAAAATTCATTGGAATAAAGGAAAAAATGCAATAAAACCAAATTATTAGGATCTAAATTTATTTCTTAAAAATTTAGAAACACTTTTGTCTAGGATTTTTTGCAATAAATTATTATTTGATTAGGTGATGGTGAAATGGAGGATAGTGTAATAGAGCAACAGACAGCTGAGGATCCGGATGTCTCATCTCAAATTGAAATAAAAGGGGAGAAGAGCCACTTGATTATATGGCAGGTATCGTTGGCTTAATATTCTTAAAATTAAAAAAAAGATAAAAAAACGACTTTTCGTTTTGGCTTTGTGAGATTGGCAGGCAGATGGTGTTTTAAGCACACATGTATAACACGTTTAATAGCTTTAATCAATATTTTTTTTAATGATTTAACCGGATTGCTTTTACAGCAGCTTGTCCATCAATTTTTTCCAAATTGACTATGTAATACTGTAGAGTAATTTTACTATTATTATACAAAAATGTAAAGAGTAGTATCATTTTATTTATTATTGTGTATACTAGCATAAATTTGTATCATATTTTATTGCTTCATAATGTAATTATGAATAGTTTGAATAGTTACGTTGTTATTTTATTATGTAATAAATTATTATTTATTATACCGTATATATTGAACTACTGAAAGTTTATTACAGTTGCTCCTTTTTTTGATCCTAGAATTACATATATTTATTAGTCAAATGTATGTATATTACAAAATTATTGTTCTTTTTTTCTTAAACAGGTAAAAGTATGTGCTTCACTTCCCTCTTTTGGTTAACAGTTTTCTAAACAACTTAAAACTTAGAAGAATCCAAACCAGCTCATCTTTCAGTAGATTGTTGGGTAAGTGATTTTTTTATTCTCTATCATTGCAGAAATAATGATTCATACAAAAAAAACCAACATTTCATATTGGCTTATACAAATACAACTAAATATGTAATTATAAAATAATATGGTAATGAACTGTGTCATTATTCTGTATATTGTTGAAAGTTACAAGGAGTTATGTGTAACATATATCTATTGCACTTAACTCTGTTCCACCACACTTGTATCACATTTTATATTATACATTTTCAGAGATAGACTTTTAAACTTATACAGTAAACATACAAATGCAAAAGAGAAATATTTAATGTTCTTTTGAAACCATATGCCTCATTAAGTTGTTGACAAACTTATCAATCTTTCTAACATCTTGGGCAATTTCAGTTTTGAATTGCAGACACTGTAATAAAATAGGATAGATAATAAATTAACTTTTATTAAGCAGTTAATGGAAAGTAAACTTACAACTACGTTGTCTGTCATTTTTAAAACTAGAACGTTCTTGGAATGAACATATTTCATACTGTAACGAACTTTATCTGGCGACTGTAAATAGAGTCTCTCTGCAGCCTTTTCGAATTCTTCCCATGACTTTAAATACGTCATATTAATTACACATAACAATTTAAGCAAGCCAATTAATAAACAAGTAAACTAGTTGAAAAAATATGTTTCTAACGTCCACATAACTGCTGCGTAAACGAACATAACCTCTATTTTGATTTGTCAGTTTGATTTATTAATCTATGGTTTGATTCGTTCTTTTTATTCGTATAGTATAAGACCATTAAATTTATGTAGCCAATCGTTCATATTTTACCATAAATTCCAAACTGTATTTACACCTTTCATTGCTATTAATAACGAAAACAGATTCAAAAGAATATTTTTGGGGTCACAATGTAAATAGACAAGTTAATTTCGCAATTATTGATACTTTATGTTATCTTATTCTGGTATATTACACTTTAGCCACTACCACGATAATTTCTATGGAGGTTAATAAATACTTTGAATATAGCGGTGAATTCGAATTGAAAACAAAAAATGTAAAACCATTTACATCAAGTCGGTCAAATTAAAAGTACCAGTTAGTAATTTATCATGTTAAACTAAATAAATTTATTTCTTATTTCTCTGAAACAAATAAAACAAAGTATTGCTAATATTTGTTTATTATATTTATTCAACCAATCTAGATACTTAATAGTAATTCGGAAATATTGTTTGCGTATATCACAGATCATGTACATGGTATTACTCGAATTTTCGTAAATTTTTGCTGGAAAAAGAAGAAAATCTAGGAAACAAGAATTTTATGAGATGAGTATCGTGTATATTTATATGGTTGTGAATTACATTGTTTTTTATTTTATTGTAGACAATACGCAGTATTTTATTTGTTTATTCGCCTGCGGAGATTCCTCCCCAGTGTTTTGGGTTGTTGGCTATGGACGTAGGCAGAATCATTCCTTCCAATTCATCAACTATATGTTGGAAAGGTAGGATTAATTTTTTTATCTTTTTCTTTAAATTTAAACTTAATTTCTCCTTTTTCAAACGACCTAAAATCCAAAGTGTATTACTGTGAGGCATCACTAAAAAGAATTTTATAGTTGCAATTTGCCGGGGTACCGTTTCAACCTTCAATTTAAAAATGTCGTTTCTATTTATTGATAAACTCCCTTATTAAAGGAGCTGAAAATATCAAATTGTATGAAATTTATCAACCCTGAATTTAAAACCGTTGATTGATAAAATAATTTTTCCCTTTTTAAACCCGCTGATAGTAACAAACTTTATTAAAATATGAGGTATCAGTGACAATAATTTTATAGTCAGAAATTGCTAATTATGTTGCTAAAATTTACTAATGAATATTTTAGAAGCTATATTTTTGAAAACGGAATTTAACACGCTGTTGTAATTGCGATGAGAATACGCTGCAGTACATTGGGTTGCCTATACTAAATAGTATTTAAAACCATATATTTTTAATTCAAATTATCGTAGTGCCTTCGCGGGAAATTAATAAAGGCTTGCGTTGTAGTCTAGATAAAGATGAAGTTGCACAGTGGTAGTCAAAATTTGTGAGCAGTTAAATTTTTCGATTTAATGAACTCGTTTATCTAAATTTATTTAGTACATAGGTAGCTCAAGAATGTATGTATGATTTCATTACACTAAACACTGTTAATGTTGATTAATAGTTCTCATTTGTTTTGAATATTCGTCTGATCTGGGCATTTTTACGTTGTATACTGTACACTACGATTTTTAATACGATTTCTGATAGAGAATGATTAACATCCTTTAAAATGCGGACAGGAGACTATTAATGTTATTTGGAAAAATTGTGCTGTTTATTTTTCAATTAAGTATTCTGTTATTAAGGAAGATGAGAGTATAAAAATAAAACAAAGAGTAATGGCCAAGAAGATGATTCTTAACGAACAAAGCGATGATTTTTTAGTCCTCTTATCTAAATTCTGCATTTTACTTTTGCATTTTTAAAAATCATTGCATTTTATTTTAATAGATCTACAATTGTACCATTCTCTCCAAGTGATATCTGTTTGTCTTCGTCTTAATCTCCCTAACGACCTTGTTTTTCTATAATTGCGTCATTTACACATGTGTATGATAAACTTTCTGGGTAGAACCATAAATTCCTACGTTATGAATAATGATTGGATTAAATTGAAAAATGAAACAGTTTAATTTTGTAGAAATGCCTGAATATTTTAAAACGTATTTTTTCGTTACATGGAATATAGGTAGGGCTGATAACAATTTTGAATTAAAAATTTGAATTAAAAAAAT